TTCCTTTAAGGCCTTTTTCAACAAGAAACAAAAAAAGCAAAACTCGTGGAAAATTTTCTGGTTAATTTGATTTTTTGTTAGGATACGAGAGAGTTGACGTATAAACACCCTTCTGTCACTGACCACGATGAAATTCAGGACAGTTTGGAGGTGGCACTCATAAGCATCTCAATAGTGGCTGAAGTGTCATCACTTGCATTGCTTATGGCTGTAAGGCATGTAAAAAATTGAAATGTAAATCTTATGTATAGTGTTCAGGCACTTAGCTATACAAGCACGAAGCTTTGCTAGTTTACAGGCATGCCACTGAACCAAAGGAAACAACTATTTCAAATAAACGTAACATAGTTAAATCCCAACTGGCGGAGGGCAGACCAGTTGGGTATTTGCAAAGCGTGACCGAGGATTTGAACTCGGGACTACCGAAAAACAAATCTCTTTAGTGACAGGAAGGAGGCCTTGAACCCGAGACCTCCGGATTACAACACCAGTGTCCTAAACCACTCGGCCACGCTGCCTCCGGTTGAAAAATATACATTACGGTAAGACCGTGATTAAATAAAATTATATACATCACTTCACATTTAAGAGCCAATTCCTGTAAATACCAGTAATGAGATGACAGTCGCGAAATTTCGGATTTCTTCATATTTTGCCAAAATGACCTCTATAGTGAGTTGTTTTCGAAAATACCATTCAAAGATCCTGATCATGAAGCGCTTTAGTTTTCTCCAAATCGAGGAAAGTCCGAAAATGGCCATTTTACCTGCCTGCCGCCGCCGAAAATGGCCCAAAATCGTGCATTTTCTTTTCCTCGTACAGATCAACGCGATGATTTCTATCAATATACTTTGGGTAGCTCATAGTGCATATCTAAAGCAGCAAGACAGAAAACCACAAATGCTTCTTCGCCAATCGCACTACGCTTTCCAGATTTCTTCCTTACAAAGTTTCCAGACTTCGCTACCTTTGAAAATTCCACGACTTCGCCGTTCTGTTAGCCAGTCCGAATAACTGTCATGGTGTTAGTTGAGTAAGGCCCAGTTCAGACGTCGTGATTCTGCCGTGCCGAACTAACTTACAATTTGTGGTTTTCTGTCTTGCTGCTTTATACGTTTTGCAAGTGGCGGACGACTGTTGGAACATTTGAAGCAAAACGATGTCACAGTATGTGTTTTATTCAGAGGTATGTGCCGTATTAGGTGATAGGACACGAACGATTCATCTATAAATCTGGTGGTAAAAAAATAGGGGCAATTGTACCCATTAGAATTGCAAGCGCACGGGTAAGAAATACAACGGTCGAATTATCTTGCCGTAATATTTATACCACAACTCTGCGACAGTTGATCATGAGGTTTCGCCAACTGCTCGCGCTTTGTTATCATCAACTGGTTTCAGACCAGGCTTTCAAGAAATGCTGCGATAGACGGTTATTTTTAAAGTAGAGTGTGCCTATTTACATGAAATGGTTGTGCTCGAATATTTACGCCAAACATGATGGATGCAACTGTNACTTTCCTCGATTTCGAAAAAACTAAAGCGCTTCAGGACCTTTGAATGGTATTTTCGAAAACAACTCACTTTAGAGGTTATTTGGGCAAAATATGAAGAAATCCGAAATTTCGCGACTGTCATCTCATTCTTAGTATTTACAGGAATGACTCTTATTACTGCTATTTTCTGGTACTTGTTTCAATGTACATTGCTATTAATATCCGATTGTTTATTTTTTGTAGTTATTCTTTTACATTTGATTGGCGTGGCAGCTGTAGTATAAACCCCACCTTGACACTAAAACTCAGCAAAACATACTACACGCTAAACACAATAAACACAGCGCGCGCACAGCAAACCATTGGAAACAAAATCTCATATGTACTTTTCTTCAAATTTAAGCACTAAAATATCTCCAGAGAGAATCTTTGTTCACAAGAACCTCCTGTTCACACTGGCTCTCGGACATCTGGTGTATGTGTTTGATCTGAAGCTCTTCACATCGAAAAGTGAACATGCTGTAAGTACATGGTGTTGGCCTACAAGTTGGTGTAAGTAACCACCATCACGGTGTTTGCGAAGACTTCTCAACGAACTGGGATGTTTTGACTTTAGGGTTACTTCTTGTACAAACTGGTTTCTGATCGATTGGATTTGTGCGTTTTATAATAAATAACTCTAACAGAGACAAGTATAATTGCATGGTAATTTAATGACCTATCTGTACCAAAAAACCTCACACTTTTAAATATCCAATCAGTTAAATTTAAGGCTATTGTTCTTTATTTATAAATAAAATATTACTAATCCCATTTTGAATAATGTATACAAACCTTCACTTTATGAGTTATTTTTCAGCTGTTTCCGCCTTTATACAGATCATTTGCAGCACCATTACAGCCATCAAGCATTATCTCAGTACAGCTCTGTGTATGTGGATGCTGTTAGAAGGAATTAACCTTTACATGAAGGTGGTAAAAGTCTTCACAATTGGTATTGAACGGCAATATCTGGCCTATATCTTGGTTGGATGGGGTAAGACGCCAAGTGTGAGTTAAGATTGATAAATAAAGTTATTTTAGATCGGCTTTCAGTTTTTTCGCTTCAATTAATCTTTGAAAACGTTCGTCAATCTATTCAAGTGATTTATTTAACATAAAAAACGTGAAGACATGATAGATGACCAACTTCGACCAACCATGCCAGCTAATCACATGAAGTTAATAACGTTATCCATTGACGAGAATGACGTATCTTTAATTGACAGGAATACCCGCAGTTATTGTTGGTCTTGTAGCAGCAATCAACCCTTTTACTTATGACATGAGCGTATTGTTGCAAGAAGACATTCAATGCGGTTCACTCCAATTTACATTGACTTTTGACAGAGACAGGTCGGTTATTTACACTTTGAATTTCATTGATAATGCTGGCTTGATATTCGGGGCTACATTCAAAATCAGTCCCTGCTGGGGCACAAGGAATGGTGTTTGGGAAGGGGAAACTCCCCTTGGGATTTCAATTCAGTAAAAGAGCAGAAATCAAAGTTCTTTGTGTTTAAGATAGCCCTCATTTTCCACGCGGTAAATGCATTGATGTTAACTTTAAATTAAAATTACACGGGTGTGTAAGCGGTATAAATTATGTAGTGTTGCTTATGGGAAGGGAAGAGGAATTTTGGTTCAACCAGCATGTCAAGATGTTGTTAGATTGATAATACCTAATGAAGTGAAGAAACAGTGGGCATATCAAGATCTTGGCGTTTGATGTGTGAACAGTGACTGAATA